TTTTCTCAAACTCAAATTTAAAAATCAATAGCGAAACTGTGTTTCATCTATCGTGTAGAAATCAGAATTTTTGGTCGTCGCCAGACGTCTGTTGGGAAAATATAATCATTAATATTATTAAAATCCTGAAATACGACACTATATCTGTCTAACACATATCATCCAATCACGGGCCTTTCTCCTATGTCACGTGATATTTATTTGCCCTCAGACATAGTCTTGATAAAAAAAATCATTGTATATATTCTATGTTTATTTCTTATTTTTCATGATAAATTAATGATGATGAAAGTTTGCAGGACATGACATCAACTTATTTGAAATATATTCTAAAATATTGATGTATCATGATGCTTTTTTCGGTTAGGTCTAATGTACAGCTTATTTCATGTTTTTAACATAATTATTCTGACATACAAAGAAACATTTCAAGAAGAAAATGCAATTCTTTGAACTAAGACAGAAAACAACTGAAATAATAAAATATGATAGAAAATTGTAAAATACAATATTTAAATAACATTATTATTCAATCAATAAAATAAAATAGTACAGCCTCGCTAAAATAGCTATTGGGTCGATTGATACTGATAGTATAATAATTAATAAATGATTAATTGGAACATAAAGAGTGTTTTTGGTAGACGAAATAAACTTTCTAAGTCTAGTTTGTAATTAACGATTTTGCTTTTGGTGGATTGTTAAGGATCAGAATGTACACTGAAAAACAAGTATTGTCTTTTCCGACGTCATACTTAATGTCCTATATCAAATCTTAATTGGATATGAAACATACAATTGCACAGTTTAATTTATCTAGTTTATTTTTTCTTTCTTTCAAGGGTATATGGCAATAAAATTACAATATTCTATATTACAAAAACATCTTGAAAATTTATAAACTGTATTAACGCTTGAAATCAGGTTTTAAGACCCGTCGTAAAGCCGTCTGCCTAAAATTGTTAACAACTGCTTGTCTATACCATCTGAAATAATGGTTGTAAAAAGAATGGTCTTTTATTATATATGGCGTGATTTTTGAATAATAATTTAATATAATGTCATTTGTGTAATATGATTTAGTATTTTGAATCTCATCTTAGTATTCTGGTCCGGTTTCTATCTTTATGAATTTGAATATTATTTCACAGTTAGCCCAATAAGACTATTTTCTATCTTAGCTAATATCATTTGTTCTTATAAACAGTTGTTTATATTCCCTTTTCTGAAATACAGTATTGTCTTTTCTTGTCTTGTGTTGTTTCTTTGTTATCTTTCTCTTTGTGTATATTTATATGTTGGTTAGCTCCCTTGTATGTGGAATATTTAGTAAGTTTTTTTTCTTGGGCTATTATGTTGTTATTCTATTCTGCCAAATTCGAAACTGTATATAGTTTAAGTACAAACTGTGTTCCTGTGTTAATTTTCTCTGATAAAGTATGTGTTCAGTTTAATTTATACTCTCTGCGCATGGTAAAATGTTTATCCATGTTGCTTGTATATTATGGGCCGGTGGCCTTATTATCAAATAAATATGTTGTTGTTGGTTGTTGTTGTTGGTCGAATGTTCCACTAGTGCTGACGCTCACTTCTTACATTTCAGTGAGCTGCGAAGGGATTGCGTTATTTAATTTAATGCCTGAGATAACTTGTATGTTAAAAATCCATGTTTCTTGAATCATATATTTCGAAAACTAGCAGTACATGGGTAAAATGCATATTAATCCGAAAATGCGCCCTCGTAACGTAAAGAGTTTATAGCGAAATTAAAAGCTTTTCAATAACCGCGAGGAAATGGCTGCAATAAATACCTTTGTATTTGCTAGGAATCATCATGATTCTATAGGGCACATGTTTTGCACATTTTTGTGTCTATTTAATACCTTGATTTTTATTTACCGTTGACTACAATATATTATTCAAAACATAATGAAAATTAATTTGATAAATACTATGTGGCTACTATAACTGGCTGCGGTACATACCGGTGTGGCGTGAATTTTGTAAGACCCGTGAGGAACGTAAGACTTTATGTTCTGCGCATGCGCAGATAGTTGTAGAGAAAAGCATGCTACTGTCTTTTGATATCAATTTTTTCAGGCGAGGCTGATATGGGTTAGAAAGGGCGAGGCTTGTAGAAAATCTACCCCTATACTATAAGTTATATAACTTATAGTATAGGGGTATAATGAAAATCGTCGAATCGTGTCAGAATTTTGTTTTTATGAATTTTTATGGTGCAAATCAACTTGCATTGATATTTTTAATGGGTTGTAGCAGGGCCTTCGGGGGGAGGCCGAGGGGGCCGGGATAATGTCAGATCGCAGGGTCTTCCCCCTGTGTTTCTGCCCATATCAGCCGAGCCTGATAAAATTGATATCAAAACTGACAAAAGACAGTAGCATGTTTTTCTATTTATCATGTAACACATAAAAATTGTCAAAATGACAAAATAATCTACATACTTTTAAATAGCGAATTTCGTAGAAAGGGGCATTTTTGTTCAAACTCAAAGAAATAATTCTTAAAAACAATTCCTCCGCCCCTGAAACTTAGAATTTGTAAATTGCGGCCATTTTTTCTTTCGACTCGAGATTATTTCCTGTGATAAAAGATACAACAGAATGTAACACGATAAGATTCTTACCTTTAAACATCGATCCAAAAAATCCCTAAGAATTATATAAACTTTTCTGCACTTTCTGTCTTGAATTGTCAAGTTCAAAAGTTCAGGATAATTTCAATCAAACAAAACTAAAATCGGCAAGCACAAGCTATACAAACATGCGTCTTATTTTTTAAACGAAACAATTTGTTCACTTATTAAATAATAATCCGGCGAAATAAAGTAAACATTTACAAGTTCTCAAAGAAAATCGTCTAGCCTGTTTGTAATGTTTACATGCATACATGTAGTATGACGTGGACATCGATGATGTCATTTGCAATATAAATTATGACGTCACTTCATTTAGTTGGAGCTTAAACTATTCGCTATCTAATTTATTCGTAATTGAAATCGAAATAATGAATAAATAAATATCGCATCTTGATTTCAAGACTTAAGGGTATGATATTACATTGTAGAATTTACATGCTGATGAAAATGAGATTATTACCCTTCCAGATTTTTTCCGCCTTTTTGATTGGATATTGATCACCCGAAAGAAATTGATATAACCGAGCCAGACGGGTAATATACACACTAAATTTCCCCGTTTGGTACCCAACGTTGTAAACAACATGCGCGGAGATGATGCGCGTACGGTTCGATTTTACGCGGTGTAAATTCCGATTTAAAAGCACTTTTTAACTGTCAAATGATAAATATTTACCAAAGTAGAGTTATGATACATATAACCATCAGTATCGAAAACAAATATGACCTTGTGAAAGCTTGATATTAATTACAAAAAAGTGCGTTCAATAGACTACTCCTTTTCTCTTGTTTACTTTTGTAAGGTACGGGAAAAATACGTCATGTATTTATGTGACGTCATGTTGTGACGAAGAGGTATCCTAAAGGGAATCTTATTTCGACGTTTCATTTGAAACAGCAATGATTATTTAAAAAATCGTCTAAACTCGGCAGGGGAAGGGTAATAAAATTATTATTTTGGTTTTGGAGTGATATATGTGGATATATTACCTGCCAAGATAAAATATCACCCTCGCCTAACGGCTCGGGTGATATAAAATCTTAACAGGTAATATATCCACATATATCACTCCAAAACCAAAATAACATAATCAATTGAAACAAGTCCGTTAAAATGGGCGGGGCTTATTTTTGATATCAGGTTACTGACCTGGGGTGCGTTTCATGGAGAGTCCTAAGTCTTAAGTTTGTCATAAGATAAAAATTGGGACAATTTTGCGTTTCAAAGAAAGTCATAAAAAAGGTCCTAACTTATGACTCCTATATTTATGACCAAAAACAGTCCTAAGTCTAGGAGTGTTGTAAAGGTATCTTAAGATTGTCCTAAGTCAAAACCACTCCAAAATCAAACAACTTTTGTTGAATTTTGTTTTGAAAACTATCTAGAATGATAGATAATGGTCTAACTAAGAAAATAAATCCGAACACCAATATCTTTAATTCAGTCATTAACGCTGTAAAGACGTTTAAAAGAGTTGTTTACATGACGTCACAATGTAGCGCCAAATATCGCGTGCAAAACAATACGCATCTATAAATAATAATATTACTGCGCGCTGTACAATTGCAGTTGCATAGCAAGCAAGTGGGTTCGTTACCATTTTTTTTACAATGAAATTAAATAAAACGGTTATATGGTATATATTTTCACTCAACATGATAAGAGGACAATTCATTACTTTTTATACTTGCTATAATCAATTACATAGTTAATCCAATCCGGGATTATGCGCGTGCCATTGTATTTTGTAACTTTTTCAGGAGAGCGAATTGGTCATAAGTCTTACGTTTAAGACAAAAGATAGGACAGTTACTTGAAACGGTCCTAAGTGCAAAAACTTTTTCTCCTAAAGTTGGTCATAAGTCCTAGGATTTATGATTAAGTTAGGACTCACAATGAAACGCAGCCCTGATATCAAAAATAATTATCCGGCAAGTGTAATCGGGCAGTTACCATAGCAGTTGCATTATTTATTGATTGAATTTTTATTACCCGAAAGTGCGGTCGTTTGTCTGCATATGTACCTGTTGAACGCGCTTTGGTGTCAATTGTACCCCAAAGTGCGGTGTTTCACCGCTTTCTGCCTCGTTATCGGCCTAGTACTCCGACTATCATCATTTCGTCGGTCGACGCGTCATATCTGTCAATTACCAGCTTACCACATCAAACAACGGCATATTTACCTAAATATCTTGCATAATTTGCCTAACTCAAGTCTACACGTATTTGTACAAGTTGTGTAAAGTTCTCACGCAAGGAAAAAACCGACCTGTCTATCATGTAAAGTCCACGCTCTTTACACAAAAGTATAGTTTTGTAATAGATGACCAAATTAATTTATATAAGTACTATATTTCTATTTAATTCTGATATCTTAATTTCCATTATGCTAGTACTGATACTTTACAATCACCTTTGAAACACTATACGATCACTTTTGAAACACTATACGATCACTTTTCTTGTTTAAAGTTAGGCAATATTATTACGCTGCTAAACAATAAGTATTTGGAATCATTTGGCACTTTTGCCAACTTAAATTTATCCCATTCTGTTTGTTAATTGCTATTAACTAGTGTCCTGTTAATTAACATGTTTATGACGTCACTTTATGACGTCAAACTTGAACGAACACTTGGACGTGAAGGTTGACGTCATAAAAGACAAGAAGCGCTCTGACCACCATTGCGGTAAGCCGTTGTTTTCATTTCTCGGAAGTTTTCCGATTTTCTTTTATTTCCCCTACCTTATTTATTTTATATGCATGTTAATTATGAAATATAATGACTTAAATATTTAATACAATTCATAAAACTTACATTTGCCTTTATTATCATTTCTTTTGTTTAATTTACACAAACGGTCCTGTGATATCGAACCGAAAGACTGTTCCCCGTTTACACTGGTGCACCGTGACCAGGATCGTTTGTGCATTTATATATTATTATCATAGTAGTGTACTGTACATATATTATAAATTTACCATCAGTATTTTTCCGTATTTATTTTACTAGTCTGTACTTCAATAATTATGTTCAAATGTTTGCTTGACTTTCTCACGCCATGGAGAGGTAACTCCAGTAAATCCGTAATGCAAACTCCAAAAAGAAAATTAGATTTTAATGAAACAGAGCAAACCTTGCCGGACATTTGGCACGATGCCTCTACAATTCCACAAACAGCAATGTCCATGAATAGTACATCTAGCTGTCAAAATGGCTACGACACTAATGTAAACAGTAGGCCTACACGTCATCATTGTGACGTAATAAACCAAAATCAATCGATAGATTTGAATGAAGGTATAACGCCACTAAATCTTGGCTATCGCCAATTTGAAAACTTGCCTCGTCGTAGAGAAAGAGAGCCCGATAAATTCAATGGCGAATCTGACTTTGGCTTGTTTATTAGCCATTTTGAACAGGTCGCAAAATACAATAGGTGGTCTTGACAAAGCCCAAAACTTGGCAATTTGCCTCAGAGGCCGTGCGCAATGTGTTTTGGAAGAATTGTCTCAAAAAGAGTTGAGCCATTATTCTTGTCTGAGAGAAGCTCTCAATAAACGTTTCAACCCAAGTGAAAGAACCTCGAGTTATAAGTTTGAATTTAGAAATAAGAGACGAAATAAGCAAGAATCCCCTGCTGAATATGGTTATAATTTAAAGCGTCTCGGTATAAAAGCTTACCCCGACATGCCGCACAAAACATTAGAAACCTTAATTGTAGATCAATTTATAGAGGGATTAAATAGGTCAGAACTCAGGCGCCACGTGCAATTCGGGCACCCTTCTTCATTAGATAGTGCCATTTCTCTTGCAACAGAATTTGAGGCATTTGACTCATTTACTACTTGTAAGCCTAGTAATGAAGAATATATCCGTCCCGTACAAAATCAAGACGTAAATACTCAAACATCGCTAGAGAAACTTGTCTCTTCTCTAAATGATAAAATTGATTTACTTTCAGTCAATAATATGTCAGGTAATAATAAAAGACAGGGCAATAGATCCGCTCGCCGTCAAAGAGTATGTTATAATTGTCACGAAGAGGGTCACATTAGTACAAACTGTCCGTTAAAACAGAATAGATCAGTATACAGTCAAGATAATTACAACCTTGGCAATGCGCCAGCGCAGTCTACATGTACGCTTCCTAATGAAATTAAAAATACCCCAAATCAAAATTCGTTAAACTAGAACGGGCTGAGTTTGAGGCCGAAAGCCCAGTCCTTTTGCAAAATTTTAATTGTGATTCAAACATAAGGCCTTCTGTTAATGTTAGAGCTATTTCACAGGGTTGTTGGTTTCTACCCTGTGTTATTGATGGTAGTGAAAAGGATTTATTAATTGATTCTGGTGCGTCTTGTAGTATTTTGACCTATGACTGTTATAAATCCTTGGCTAGTTTGCCAGCGCTTAATAACATAGATGTTGTGCTTAAAGGCGCTGACGGTACTCCATTGAATATTTTCGGACAATGTAAACTCAAGCTTAAAATTAACGGTCGTATGTTTGAACACAATTTGGTTGTTGCCCAGTTAGATAAAATTGATGGTTTATTGGGCCAGGACTTTCTAGAAAAATTTGATGTTACTACTAGTTGGGGCAAGGGTATTCTTAAAATAAGAAATTTCAAAGTGCAGTTGAAAAGAGAAAATAAAAATGTATGCACTCGCGTTTCAGTTTCGGAAACGATCAGCATTCCTGCAAAATGTGAATTGTTATTAAAGGGTAAATTACTTGATTCATGGGGAAATGGTACTTTTGGTATCGTGGAACCTAATGATAAAATTTTGCAGCGTAAAGATCTATTTGTAGCCAGGTCTCTTGTAGAAAGCAACAACAAAGAAGTTGTATTCTCTATTTTGAATTTAAATTCAGAGCCTGTAAAGCTGAAACAAGGTTATGAAATAGCAAATTTATCTCAAATTTCGTCAGCACAAGTAGTTTCACACGGTACAAATTTCAACGTTTCTATAGAAAATGATGTACTTCCGGAGCATTTAATGCCCATGTATGAAAAGTCTTGCGAAAATCTTTCGAAATCACAATCTGAACGATTGCGAAATTTTCTGATAAATTACCAAGATATTTTTGTAGGGCCTGATGGGAAACTTGGTTGTACTGATGTCGTAAAACATACCATAGACACCGGAGATAACCGTCCAATTAAGCTTCCTCCAAGACGTTTGCCTATTGCGCAACGTGAAATTGCTGATAAAGAAATAAATGACATGTTAGAAAATGGTATAATTTCCGAAAGCAATTCTGCTTTTGCTAGTCCTATTGTCTTAGTACGAAAGAAAGATAATTCAGTTAGATTCTGTGTAGATTATAGAAAGTTGAATGCTATTACGCGTAAAGATGCCTATCCTTTGCCTAATATTTCTGATTCTCTTGACCAATTGGCAGGTTCTTCTTGGTTTAGTACTCTTGACCTAGCTAGTGGATTTTGGCAAGTTGCCATGGATACTGACGATAAACATAAAACTGCATTTGCGACGCACAGAGGCTTGTTTCATTTTAATTTTATGCCGTTTGGTCTAGCAAACAGTCCAGCCACATTCGAACGTCTAATGGAACTTGTACTAAGTGGCCTGAGATTCGAACGCTGTCTGGTATATTTGGACGACATAATTGTGTATGGCGACACATTTGAAAAAGCATTAGAAAACTTAACGCTTGTATGCGACAGATTAAAGTCAGCAAATTTAAAATTGAAACCAAAGAAATGTGTATTATTTCAGAGGGAGGTCGCTTATCTAGGCCATGTAGTATCTGGGGATGGGGTGGCTTGTGATCCAGCTAAAATAGATGCTGTTAAAAATTGGCCAAAACCGATGTCTGTTTCTGATGTTAAAAGTTTTCTTGGACTTGCAAATTATTACAAGAAATATGTAGAAAATTTTAGCACAATTGCATATCCCCTTACACAACTTACGCATAAAAATAGCCGTTTTCATTGGTCCGAGGCATGTGAAAATTCATTTACAACATTGAAGTCAAAGTTAATTGAGGCGCCAATTTTAGCGTATCCTACAACAACAGGACGCTTTATTCTGGATACAGATTGTTCTAATTTCTGTATGGGCGCCATCTTATCACAAGTTCAAAATGGGGAGGAAAAGGTAATTGCGTACGGAAGTAAGAGCTTAAATAAGTCTCAGCGCAAATACTGTACTACTTATAAGGAATTGCTAGCCGTTGTTCATTTTGTCCGTCATTTTAAACATTATTTATGGGGTAGACCTTTTCTAGTACGTACAGATCATAGTTCACTTAAATGGTTAAAGAATTTCAAAGAGCCTGAGGGTATGGTTGCGCGCTGGCTAGCTATTTTAGACACATATGATTTTGAAATTGAGCACAGAAAAGGAAGTTTGCACGGGAATGCCGATTCCCTTAGTAGAATTGCACACTCAAAATGCAAGCGCGAAAATTGTACGGACTGTTACCCGATTAAAGAGAATAATATTTCTGTTGTTACTAGGAACCAAGCAAAGAAAAGTACATTATCAACTGAAATTGATACAAGTGCGGAATTCGAACCCGTGACTTCTGATATTAATTCTAAATCAAAATCAAGTAAAGGCCACGAAAAAGCAAATAAAGACAATCAAAATGAAATTAGTTTTATTTCACCAGAAAAATTTGTAAGTACATGGATTGACACTTGGTCAAATGATCAGCTTAGAGATTTCCAATTAAAAGACCCTACATGACGTCCCTTGATACATGCAATGCAATCGGACAAGGAAAAGCCATCCTTACAATCTATTTCGAAATATAGCCACGGTACTAAAGTTTTATTCAATATATGGCATGAATTGACCCTGGTAAATGAGGTTTTATATAAAATTTCTGATAAGGATATCGGAGGTAAAATATGAAAAACAAGATCAACAAGGAAAGGCGGCGTTCAATGAACGCAACCAGTCAATCTTTTGGTTACCCCTAGCAATATCCGCAGATATATTTTTGACCAATTACATAGTAATAGAGTTGCAGGACACTTTGGTAGAGACAAGACTGTGAACGCCATTAAATCAAGGTTTTACTGGCCTGGTCTTACTAGTGATGTCTCTAGGTGGTGCAATGAATGTGATCTATGTTCTAGGCGAAAACCTGGCCCAGGTCGAGGAAAGGCCCCAATGAAAAATGTGCAATCCGGTTTCCCATTGGAACGTATTGCCATAGATATTCTTGGCCCTTTACCAACTTCTGACCGTGGTCATTCTTATATAATGGTTGTAGGAGACTATTTCACAAAATGGACAGAATCTTATGCTATTGCAGATCATACAGCACAAACTGTTGCAGATACTTTAGTGACCGAGTTTATATGTCGTTATGGTGTCCCATATTGTATACATACGGATCAAGGTCGAGAATTCGAATCAAATTTGTTCAAAGCCTTATGCAAATTATTAGATATAGACAAGACCCGCACTACCCCCTACCATCCTCAGTCTGATGGAATGATTGAACGTTTTAATCGTACATTGCAACAAATGTTGGCAATGTTTGCCAATTCAAACCGAAATGACTGGGATGACCATCTTCCTTATGTTATGTTTGCATATAGAACTAAAGTGCAAGATAGCACAAAATGTACACCATCTTTATTAATGTTTGGTAGAGAAATAAATGTACCAATTGATATTTTGGTCGGAGATCCAAATCATAATGATATGTGTCCTATAGAATATGTACAGTGGGTTCAAGCCGCTAGTGAGCAGGCTTTCGAATTTGCACAACAAAACTTGACTGGCTCTTTCAAGAGACAAAAGTTTTATCATGACCAAAATATGAAAACTAAAAGTATTGAGGTAAACTCATGGGTATGGAGATGGTATCCACCTAATGCAAATGTCAAATTAGGTTTAGGCTGGACCGGACCATACTTGGTTATAGGTAAACCAAGTGATGTGACAGTAAAGATACAAAAGGCTCTTGATGCCCCAATGATTACTGTACACATAAATGACCTTAAACCATACCTTGGAGATACTTCCAGACTTACATCTTGGATACAACAAGATGACCTAAATAGGGAATTGGTAACCATACCAAGTCAAATTGTGTTATCAAATTTAGATAACCATGTAACCGAAAGTCCACCCAGATTCAATGAAAATTATGAAGATCTAACAGATAACTCCTTAAAAGTTATGACAGATCATCAAAACATTAAATTTACCAAAACTGGACGTGTGACAAAACCACCAATACGTTTATTGGAAGAAATCTAAGAGCTGTTTTTTTAGAAATAATTGCATAAAATGTAATAATTGTTGTGTAGAGAAATATGTACCTAATTAGTTCATGCATTTAATTAAATCAATCATTATCTCATCATCTTTACATAAGATGGTATACTAAATAAAAATGTTAATAAAATTTTGCATGTTATGCTAATGACTTTATAATCTGTAATCCTTGTTACTCATACAAAAAAAAAAAAAAAAAAAAGTTGTAATTTAACATAAAGTTATAAAGTTATATGTATGTTATTAAGCAAATTTACACATTGAATAAAACAATTAAGAATCTAATAGGCACTATAAGTTTATGATATATTGAACACAGAGTATCTTGGAATGTCATTTTCCAGATGTTTCACAGCCTTGGAAATTGTTCCAACACTGTAGCATACTAATTAAAGTTTCAAATTTTTGAACACTTTTCTGCTGTTTATCTTGTTTTTTTTAGATAATGTCACGTGCGGGATTTTATAAAGACGAACCCTGTGAGGTCAAAGGATGCAACTTTAAGCAAAGGACAATAAGAAGCTATCAGCGCCACTATGAGGAGAGGCATAGGCCGACATGCTCGCAGTTTAAGTGTAACTTATGTGTTGAGAGTTCCCCTCAGTTTCTGAGAAGGGATAGTTTCGTCAAACATCTCAGGGGAGTTCATTTTCTTTCTGGTTCTGCCCTTTCTTATCATCTGTCACTTAATAAACCTTCAAAATTATTTAATCCATTGTATATTCCTCCTGGAGATGTTCTTCCTCCTTCTCTTGGAGCTGGTCTCCAGCCATTCTTATATGTTAATATGAAGGAAGACTATTCACGGACAATTACTGCCCTTGAAGACCTAGATACTTCTAATTTACCCATGGAGTCCGTATCTGTCTGTAATCCAACGACTTCGCTCAATTTGACATCTGATAAGTTACAAGAGTCATCAGGTTCTGCTAGTCCCACATGTACATTTGATCATGTCGAACCAACATATCCAGTTTTGTCTGCACCTGCTATGCCCGATACACTTGAAGGGCTCTATAATTTCACTTCGTTTTGTTCTGATGTTATTGTTGAGTACAGTGCTGCCTTGGGAAAGGCAATGCACAAACTGGAATCTTTGTCTGAAGTAGATAAATTAAAACTTAAAGCACTGGATGAAAAAAAGAATCAGTCAAACAAGTAAACAAGTTGTTCTTTTAACAACTGTATTTTATGTGTTACCATACCATGTTGTTTATTTTCATTATCAGGTTGGAACACCGCAGTCAATTGTAATGTATATAGTTTATTTATTTTGTGTAAATAAACTACATAACTTCTATTTGTATATTTACATATTATTAAATGGATTATTAAAAATAAATAGTTCTATGCTCGGGCCTCTATGAATTTTTGCTATTTGCTTTGATCATAATACAGAAAGTTACATTTAGACTTTAGTACATTAAAGTTCTTTTATTCGAAAGTGTACATGTAATTTAAATTTAAAATAAATTGATTATTCATTAATTGATTGTAACAACTTGGATTGTTTTAATGTTAATGTTACTCTCTTTTAAGGAGATGTGGTTACAATCTAATTATTAGTAACTTACATGATGTTTGCCTATTGTAGAGTTGACATGGTAGCTTTGTATGTAATTGTCCAAATACCAGGACCAGATTAACAGAAGAAAGTTGTTTCACACTGCACTGGATAACGTTTTTTTTTTGCATATATGTATAATTAAATTTCATTCATTTCAAGGTGTCTGGTTACTTCTGGGATATAATCATCAATTCCAGCAATTGTTTATAAGTTGTTATTGGTATTCTCTGAACTGCTATTGCAAAATCAAATGTCTAAACAATATTTCATATGTTTTCAGAGCGTAATCCTGCCAATTCTTTTCTGGTACACTTGCGAATTGTTCAACTTTGGAAGTCTTCCATACTATACCACGTTCGGAACAAGATAAAAGAAAGACAAACACACCCACAGAGAAAAAGACGGCTTAAAACTTATAAACATTCTAACTTTTTTTAATCGCGACACATGGAACTGTTCCTCCTTTGTGAAGAGTCAATTTAATTAATAAACCCAAAGTCACTTAAACTACAGACAAGAACTTTAATAGGCATGATCGAACATTTACTTACGTTAAATTTTAATTGATCTTGTATATATGTGATGTTGTTAATATAGACGTTTTAGATGTTGTGAAACGTTAATGTATTAAGCTGCAATATTTTATGAATGTTTACTTGTATGCTTGTTGAATTTTATTTGTGTACTTGGATTTATTGTTAATTGTTAGCCAGTCTCTAATAAGGTGTGTTGCATAACTGTTATTTATTTAACTTACACATTATTTGGTCATTTTGACCAATGTACATTGATCTAAGGTAGGGGGAGTGTAATAGATGACCAAATTTACTTTATATAAGTACTATATTTCTATTTAATTCTGATATCTTAATTTCCATTATGCTAGTACTGATACTTTACAATCACCTTTGAAACACTATACGATCACTTTTGAAACACTATACGATCACTTTTCTTGTTTAAAGTTAGGCAATATTATTACGCTGCTAAACAATAAGTATTTGGAATCATTTGGCACTTTTGCCAACTTAAATTTATCCCATTCTGTTTGTTAATTGCTATTAACTAGTGTCCTGTTAATTAACATGTTTATGACGTCACTTTATGACGTCAAACTTGAACGAACACTTGGACGTGAAGGTTGACGTCATAAAAGACAAGAAGCGCTCTGACCACCATTGCGGTAAGCCGTTGTTTTCATTTCTCGGAAGTTTTCCGATTTTCTTTTATTTCCCCTACCTTATTTATTTTATATGCATGTTAATTATGAAATATAATGACTTAAATATTTAATACAATTCATAAAACTTACATTTGCCTTTATTATCATTTCTTTTGTTTAATTTACACAAACGGTCCTGTGATATCGAACCGAAAGACTGTTCCCCGTTTACAGTTTAATATGCTTTTAGTATCTGGTTATCTTATTTTTTATCTTATTTTAGTGTCTGGATATTCTATATTTAAGTCTGATTTTAGAGTCTGGATATTCTACATTTAAGTCTGATTTTAGAGTCTGGATATTCTACTTTTTATCTTATTTTAGAGTCTGGATATTCTACATATAAGTTTGATTTTATAGACAAGTTACCCTTCATTTAAGTCTGAATTAAAAGTCTGGATATTCTACATTTAGGTCTGATTTTATAGTCAGATTAGGTTACACTGGAGTCTGAATTAAGAGTCTGGATATCCCACATTTCAGTTTGATTTTTGAGTCTGGATATTCTACATCTAAGTCTGATTTTAGAGTCTGTATATTCTACATTTAAGTCTGATTTTAGAGTCTGGATATTCTACATTTAAGTCTGATTTTAGTGTCTGGATATTCTACATTTAAGTCTGTATTTAGAGACTGGATATCCTACATTTAAGCCTGATTTTATAGTCAAGTTATTCTACATTTAAGTCTGAATTAAGAGTCTGGATATCCCACATTTCAATTTGATTTTAGAGTCTGTTTATCCTATACATTTAAGTCTGATTTTATTGTCAGGTAACCCTACATTTAAGTCTGAATATCCTACATTTAAGTCTGATTTTATAGTCAGGTAACCCTACATTTAAGTCTGAATATCCTACATTTAAGTCTGATTTTAAGGCCAGGTAACCCTACATTTAAGTCTGATTTTATAGTCAGGTAACCCTACATTTAAGTCTGATTTAAGAGTCTGGTTATCCTACATTTATGTCTGATTTTAGTGTCTGGTTATCCTACATTTAAGTCTGATTTAAGAGTCTGGTTATCCTACATTTAAGTCTGATTTAAGAGTCTGGTTATCCTACATTTAAGTCTGATTTAAGAGTCTGGTTATCCTACATTTTAATCTGATATAAGAGTCAGGTTATCTGATTTTTATGGAAGCACTGGAGGGCCCTTTTGACTTCTGACTTAATGACTTTTGACTTGGGAGTTATGATTTTTGACTTGGGACTTTTAACTCAAGACTTATTACTTCTTAGTTGTGAAATTAATTAATTAAACCACACTTTAAGAGAGCACGTGAGTAATGAGCGAAGATGGCTGTGTTGTGCCAAAATATGAAATTCGTGTTTGCGTGTTGTTTTCTGTGCACTCTGTTGAAGATAACAGCTGGTGTGGTGCCAGCTTACCTGCCTTTGTCGTCTCCGAATGTTGATAAAGCATCACTCATTGAAGAATATTTCAAACAAGGTTTTAAATACAGTGAAATTCTTGGATTTTTGCTACTTAAGCATGGTATTTTGTTGTCACTGCGTCAGCTGAAAAGAATCTTGAAGAAGTTGAACCTGAAACGTCGAGGTGTACATTTGCAATCGCAGTTGAAAAACGTTGTTTGTGTAATTGGCACGGAAATGCATTATAGTGGACAGTCTGTCGGTTATCGGACGATATGGCGCTGGCTGAAAGTGAATCATAATGATGGATGTAAGCCATAAAGATGTTATGGATATAATGAAGGCAATAGATCCAAATGATGTTGAAATGAGAAAAGCACGTCGACTTAAAAGACGTTTCTATTGTGCAAAAGGGCCAAACAATGTTTGGCATTTAGATGGTTATGATAAGTTGAAACCATTCGGATTTTGTATACACGGAGCGGTAGATGGTTTTAGCAGGAAAGTTATTTGGTTAGAAGTTTTTGACACTAACAACGATCCAAAACTGATTGCGATATATTATTTGGATGCATTGAAGCGCATTGAAAAAACACCTCGCATACTTCGTTGCGATGCTGGAACAGAAAACAGTGTTGTTTGTCTTCTACAGCAGTTCTTTCGGAATGATGCAACCGACCACTTTGCTGGTAGTCGCAGCGTTATTGTTGGAAGAAGCACTTCTAACCAGCGTATTGAAAGATGATGGGGTACGCTACGTCAACAAGGAATACAGTGGTGGATTAACTTTTTTAAGGATTTGTGCGATTCTGGTCGTTTCAATGAACTCGACCAGATACATTGTGAAAATTTGAAATTTTGTTTTATGAACCTAATACAAACACACCTGGATAGAATTGCTCAACAGTGGAATGTACATGAAATTAGACCTCAGCACAATTCCGACGCACATTACGGAAAACCTGACATTATGTATTTTTTACCTGAAACGTTTGGCGCGCTTGATTATGGTACGGTGGTTGACAAACGTGATGTGACCTGTTGTAAAGACATGTATTCAGTTCCAAAGAGAAAGTTTGACGAATTCAGCGAATTGGCTTATCTGTTAAAGCCCGACCTCCAAATGCCAGTAGATGCCGATTCAGCATTGAATTTGTTCCTGGAGTTGAATGATTTAGTGGCAAACTCGTATGAAGACTGAAGTCTTTTTAAGCCATAAAGTTGTTTTGTGAGAGAACAAATGATCAACACGATCCATCATTATCATCATCATCATCATCTACATCATCATGATTATCATTATAAGTATGTTGACTGCAATGATGATTGTCATGATGCTGCTCCTCATGTTGCAGGTCGACTTTATAATTTAAATAATTATGTTGTTGATGATAAGCAGAAAGTTGATTTCGATGATAATGATTATAATCATGACGATGATGATAACTATATTAAGGATGTTGATCGTGATGATGTTGTAAACTATAGTATAATATTTTTTATAGTTCATAACGTAAGTGGCATATGTTTATTCTTATGTTTTACAGTCAATTATAACAAACGAATATGTCACGAAAGTCAAATGTTATTTTTACGTTTAAATACATCATGGCTCACAAATGTCTGTTTGTAATGCCTAGGTCACAAATAAAACGGGCGCCGTCCGATTAAACGATTTTTATAAAATCGGCAGATTTTTTGATGTCGTGGACGCCGGGCGATTTTAAATCTGATACCTTGCGTGGTCATGAATAAAACAGTCGTCGGGCGATTTTTGCCGAATCGATTTTACAGAAAGAATAAACGGATCGGGCGGTCGCCGCCCGATGTCCGTACGGCGCCTGTGCGATTTAAGAGTGAATCGGACGGTTGTCGCGCGGGCGCCGGGCGACAATGACTTTACATTTAATGACATCCTTTATAAAGCAGCCAGTTGTAATTATGCCAGCAAAGAAGTCAGCTGCCAAAGCCAAGGGGGAGGCCAAGGAGATGGTCCGTGTTGTTGACACCGAGTCACCAACGCCCAGTATCGAGGCCGTAGAAGGCGAAAATCAATCAAACATTCTCATGGACATTGAAGAAAAAAAATCATGTTTACTAGTATTCAAAAGAAATTCACAAATATATTTTTGAGGCAATTACAACTTCTTCAAGCTGAAATTACAACAAACATAAGCAGCCCGGTCACCGGATGACAAAACGATGACCGCCCGGTGCCTGTACATGAATCGTCCGGGTACCGGGCGATAATCGTGTGTCTACTTGTCTCTATTCAGGCACCGGGCGGGGCCCGGCCGATGTCCGCCCGGACTCCTTTTAAATCGGACGGTGTTTTAGTAGAACAAGAAATCGCCCGATCAAAAAATCATCGCCCGGTCGCCGCCCGGCGACCGAGCGATGTCCGCTCGATGATATTTATACTCAGTGACCCCAAAAATTATCGTCCGGCCGCCGTTAGCTTTTAAGTATTACTTAAAACTCGAAGGCGCCCGCCCGATGAGCAAAATTTTCAGCTGCTGCCGTCCGATAGTCACTGCCGCCGGACGGACGCCGGCCGATATTGCGATTTTTTGGAGAAACAGACGCCGCCCGGCGGCATTTTCTTATTTGTGACCTAGGCTTAACCGTTAACGTTTCAGTCAAGAAAAACTACGACCCTGTGACAAGTGTAGACCGAATTAGTCTCTATAGGTGTGCAGACTTACTAGGGCCTATATACTTAATTTTCAGTTAATTAAAATCTGGCTATTAAAATAAATTCACTGCCTCACGTTCATCTTTGTAGACCAAACGCCCTAGTACAAAACTTGCACAGGATATCTAGCCAGTACTACCGTATTCTTCCTAGTAATCGCCCAGGGCGCTTAGAAAATTGTGAAAGGTGGGCGCTTATTAGGAGTCAGGTCTTACAAAAGTATACAATATGTAAGAGTCACAGCTATGCAAATTCTGTTGATATCTCGTATTTAAAGTGGTCCCGTTTATTGACAAATCACTACACTGGGTTTGAAATGTGAATATTCACAGTCTTTCCTTGTACAGTGAAATTTTCTAGGCCCGCGGACGTGCATAAAAATTTAAAATGTCGATTGTGGTCAGTTGATTTTTTTTCTTTTAAGACAATTTATCCTGGGCGCTTAACCACTTACAAATGGAAAAGAAGTGATGGGCGCTTATAGAAGCATTGGCTCTTTTTAGGGCGAATGTGTAGTTATCCGTGGTAAGGTCAGCTTCAAGAATTTCCAGGATGACGCATTTGTAAAGCTAAGGACGTTTTAAACGATATTGCAATGACACTTCGTGCACAATGGTCTGACTTGTGACTTCGTATTTCTGACTAGAGACTTCCTACTTGTGACTTTTGACTTCTTACTTGTGACTTCCTACTTGTGACTTTTGACTTCCTACTTGTGAGTAGTGACTTCAAACACTTGTGGTCTTGACTTTTTACGTATCGACCTCTATTACAAATGCAAGGAATTAATTTATGGTTTGGGGATTGGCAAAGGCCGCCATGAAGCTGTACGTGTATCATAAAATGCAACCAAAATATGATTCGGGGGCTTGGTGCAAAACAGTTGTATCTCCTTCTTTATCTAGTTTAAGTTACAACCGTTTCGCAATGAGCCCTAAAAAGGGATTAAACAACTAGACTTTTTCTAGCCCTAGTATAAAGCGCCCGTGTAGGGCAAGATCATGCACCAAAACTATGA